CTCTCTCTCTCTCTCTCTCTCTCTCTCTGTGTGTGTGTGTGTGTGTGTGTGTGTGTGTGTGTGTGTGTGTGTATCTGTTTTGCAGCCGGTCTCTCCCGTGTGTCCAATCTTCACGTCTCGACGTGTCATAATGTCCATGGACACAGACAGAATGAAGGACAGACACGCACATGCATACAGAGACACAGACCCTCATGGCAAGCTGGGGCGTATCGCTCGGCTTCCGAACCATACGTGAGACTTTTGACACATATGGCTCTCGCTAGTGAGGCTGCCGGAACCGTCGTACTATGCGTGGTCACTTCGCAACACTTCGCAACACAAAGACAACACGTGCACACATATAGGGATACACAAACACACAAAGCGACGGAGGCTATGGCGCTAGTCAGGCTGGTATAACCATGTGACTCCCCGTCGTGACTTCGCAACACCCCCGTCGTCCATTTCTACACCGACTCTGAGTAACAGTTGACCTAACCTCTTAGGTTTAGCTAGCACTACCGGCAGGGCGATTGAACGTACCAGCTTCCCCACGAAAATAATGATGGTTTGCCTTTCCACGTAATTACACGATTGCAGGAGCCACTACTGAACCTCTCCAGGTAAATACACGATTGCAGGAGCCACTATTGAACCACAGTGGTGGTTTTATCCGTGTACTAGTAGGCAGAGTTCATCTCCGCCTCCAACTTCGGGCCTCGCTCCACTACTCTTGGAATGCGCAAAACGAGAGTGAATCTTCCGCTAGAACATCGAACGATACACCGCCATGGATTGTCTTTTGTGCATGTGGAGAGCAGTCGAACCAGACCCTTCCAAGGACTTCCGAGGACGATGGCATTTGGACGCTTTTGTACGCCGGGTGCATTTCACATATTTCGAACAGGGCGTCGCCCCACGGCTTTTTTCCTTTTTTTCTTTTTTTTAAAAAGGGCGACGGCCTTGAGATATCATCATTGAGCTGACCGGCCCCAGGCAACTCAGAAATAGCTGGTTTGACTCAGCCAAGTATCATCATCTGGATTCGAACACGGGTCTGTATTTCAACAGTTCATGGGTGTACCCACTGAGGTAGGCTCTTAGGTCCCCACGACTTAGAAAATGTGGGTATGAGAATGTATATTCCGCTAGAACATGGAAAGATATAGCTCAAATTTTTTTTTTCTTTTTTTTTTCGCGAGAACACATTGATTACATATTGGAAAAAAAAAGAAAAACAAAGAAAAGGAAAAATTTTTGAAATGCCCTTGAAGTTTGCGTTTATTTGCGATTTGCCCCTCCGACGGCCGACTTACCCTGATTTGCCCCTCCGACAACGATTCAAGTTTCCAAAAAACCCCTGGCATCAATTGGGCCTGAAATATGTTCAATATGCCCCTACCGGTACCAGTGCCAAATTTCCAGTATGCCCCTACCGGAGAGCCGATGGGTACCAGTGCCAGATTTCCATGCTTTCACACACACACACACACACA